TAACTCGATCATTCATTGTTTGCACGAGGTCTTGCACTTTGTCAACATATCGCCACATTGGCATAACTTTACCACTCGAGCTTCGATTTTATAATGCATTTGTTACTTTTGACTTCGAATCTATCCTCCAACAGCAAGAACTTTCAGAAGATTTGTTTGTTCCTACAAAAAAATTGCGCTTCAAAGTATCTGTTGCAATTCATCATAATGTCTCCTTTTCAAAAAGCAACTCTACACAATTTTTCTGTAAATGAGGATCCCTAATTACTTGTCAATACTTTTGTTGATGCATTATTGTTATCCAGCTTAAATACAGCTTTTCAGTCAGAAAAATTTGAAGATTTAGTGGAGCAATTAAGATTGTTGATTGATTACCAAACTCACTTGGATAAAAATGCTCATTCGAAAAGCAGTATAATAATGATGCGCTATTGATGTACCCAGAATTGAATAGGACAAATTCAAGGCTTTCGAAAGATCAGTTTCCCCAGTTGCTAATGACAGACGAGTTAAATGGTCTAGCTTTGGTTGATATCCTTGCTCCAGATCATCTGAAAGAGTACTTTGAGGAATTGTCACCAATTTTCAAAAACATGATTGTTAATCACAGTGATCTTGACGGTCATATGAAGGAAACTGCTGTGGCTAACGGAATAATGTCTGCTGGTCGGCGCTGTCTTCTAGCCAGTTTTTTTTTCTCGGAGAAAATTTTTAACCCACAACTGACTACATTAAATGGTGTCTTTTTGTCAGTAAGTGTTGGTAACAGCGCCTATGGGATACAACTAGTCAATAAGGCAAAATTCGATAAAAACTGTTTATGTTGACAAATTAGCTGCAACAAAAAAGATTAACTCTGCTCGATTTAAGTCCTATGATGTAATTGACAGAAACATCTACGAGACAAAGATGTCGAGGGAAACAACATGTCATGACGAGCCAATTATAGTGGGTTTTGCAAGCAACATTAAACAATGCCGAACAGCGACTGCTAAAATTCAAATACGACTTTCTCGGAACAGTTTTGCGTCCTCGAATCGAGCAGTTGAAATGAATACTGAATCAAAGTACCTGGCATTGACTGAATCAACTGTAAACAAGTGCATGACAGGTGAAGCTTGAGATATTTATACAAATGGGGTGCAGAAAAACTGTAGTGCCAGAGATTATTTTCCCGATGTGTTGAAATCCTCACCACGTGTTTGATGTGAGAAACATAAGAAGTTTGATAATCGAACGCCTGGTTTCTTCAAAGTTGAATGGAGTGGAACAGGAATGGTTTGTTTGAATAGTAAAACATACTGTGCATACAATGAAAACAATGACACGCTCAAAATGGCGATGAAAGGTTCAAACAGAAACATTAGCGGCCCTCTGGAAAATAAAAGACTGTACTACAAACGAAAAAACCTTTCAAGGATATTAATGTTGATTTCGTCCAACCGACAATCAGATCAAAACCTATAAACAAATTAAAAATTCTTTTACTTATTTCTATTAAAAGCGGATTAAGTTAAGAGATCGAATTTCCACGAAACCGTTAAATTTGGGAAAAATTTTTTCAGTTCCTACATGTACATGGTTCTAATATTTAGAAAGATCTACTCAGATGCTTATTAAAATTGAATGTATTTTTAGATCTAAACCGCTTAAATTGTAACCATTTAGTGTACATTAGTAGCTAAATACTTTTTTCTCTTGTGTGATTTCTCTGCTGATCTGTTGATATGAAATTAGAATACATTAAACAATTACTAATCTATAAATAATGTGGTGAGCTGACAAAGTTACTGAAATTAATGTCTACTCATAAAAATGGATTTTGAAGTTTGAATTCAAATAATTGTTAGTAATTTTAAAACAACTTTCTGGCCAAAGACATTTTAAGTTTTTTCACAGGCGTGCAGGGAGGTTTAATATTCTTCTTTGCGATAATCTTGATTGTAGTTTCTCCTAACAGGTTTCAAGCCGATTGTGAAAAGAAATGAATATACTTTGAATAGGTATTATCTTTGCCCAAATTGAACCAATCGATTTTATGGGTACACGCATTTGTATCAGTTATATGCAAATACAAGTTTGCGTTACAAACTCTGCTTCGGTATTTCCAGCTGGAAATAAATGGTAGTAAATACCGAGTGCAACGGGTCGAAAGAATATTGAACATAAATTCAGCTCCTGCTCTTTTCCGCACCCTGCCCCCCCCCCCCGCTTTACCGGTATTGGACCTTCTACTACTCGTCCTCTTCTGAAGAAGTTCTCGAAGTCTCGCTCTTTGAAGAACCTCTTCATTGACGCTTATAGAAACAATGAAGACTCAGTTTCGGAACAGCTCTTCCAATCTTCAATGGTAAACCTCTGGACGCTTCTTCAGAAAGCACCGGAGCTGCCTACTGATAGAGTAGTCAAAAAAGCGGAGACAGACATATCTAAGCTGATGAAACAGTTAGAAGTCAGGTGAACCACAATATACTTATTCATACCATGCTTTATCATTAACTGCTTATTAGAGCAAGCGGCTCGACACAAGGCAAAGTGGGAATAAAAGCAAAAAAAAACTTTTGGATGAAAACAGTGACAGGGTACGAAAAGGTGAGAGAGAAACGACAAGTTTTTTGAAGATGAGATAAAGAAAGATATAGAGACGACACAAAGCTCTGGAATGGTTGAAATCCCAATCCAAGGAAGAAAAAGAAGCGGAAAGATGAGCCTTCGATATTGTTATAGAACGTTTTTTATTGAATTAATATGAGAGACCAGAAAATGCTCGAAAAGTTCAGTATACCAAGGTTATAGAAAATATTCCGATGTTGACATTGAAACGTTAGCATCTGTTGAGTTCGAAATTGCAGGTAATAGAAACACAGAGAATGAAAAAAGCAGCATAGCTGAGATGCCCGTTGGCGATTGCATTGACTTTGAAAATCCAATGGATCTAGTCATGGACGATAGCGTTTTTTTATCCAGCGTATCGAGTCACGAACATAACCTAGCAGGCTAGACGTCAATCCAGTAAAATTTCTGAGAATTGGTCACAAAAGGCTAATAAAGATGCGCAAACCATGAATCAGACAATTATGCTGACAATTTTTCGGGATAGTGTGATGATTGGGAACTAAGCAAAAAATGAAATGTTTTTTCTTTGAGCGGAGCAAGACCCCTGGACTTTATCAACTTTCTTACCCGAATTGATTTGTGCAAGTAAAGTTCCATTGCATTTTATTTGCGTTAATGCGCTGGAAAAACATCATTCGAGGCCAAAAATGAGCCCTCAGCAAAATTACAAAGATATCACGTTGCTTCTGAATTACTGTTCTTCGCGCACTCGTGTGGCGATAACTGACGTTCTGCCTCGTTTCAAAAATGATCAATTTATTAAATGAAAAGAGATTTAAAGCACGATATTCCCTCATAGACTGGGGACCGATACATCGGAAATGGTAAGATGTTCCAGAGTCATCTGTATGACAAAAAAACATCTGACATATTAAGTTGCACGAGTTTTTGTCAGCGATATTGTACAAACCTTCAAAAAATGAAAATTCAATCAAATAGATGCGATGACACCTAAGCAGTCGAGCTATTTACAAAAATTGTTCTGGATTCTGTGCTTATTTAGTTCAAATTCAATTATAATTTGTTTCCGCATCGTTTATGTTCAGTTTTCCTGAAACCATATTACTTTTTTAAAATGCTCCATCACTTTTCTTGCTGTATTTTGCTCTTGCTGTAATTTATATTGAGAAGAGTCGGAGATAAGGAAGGTTGCCTGCACCTTTAGTGTTTTTCGGTCCAAATGCCACTGTTAAATGCTTGTTTTACATATTCAAAATTTTACTAACAAGACAACACACATCTTTCATACACAACATACTTTAATCCAAACATATATGTTTTATCATCTTCTACATATTCAAATGCGTCTGCCAATTGCACGGCACGGCAATCCATCAATCTCGACACATGTTAACCAATCAAAACTGCCATCTATCCATTTACCCATACATTGAGCAAACCATTCATTCAGCCAATTATCCATTTATCCAAACACGAATAATCCAGCTATCCATTCATTCCTCGTTCCATCCAGCCATCGATCTATCAATTTATGCAGCCTTCCATCTGTCTTTCCACTCAGCCATCTATCAACCCCCTCGTCCATCGATTCACACTAGCACACATAGATGCCATCCATACATCTTATATTTTGAAAGAAAGTCAGAATACGCCTTGAACGCAGTGTTTTTACTCTTTATCTAGCGCAACCTTTAAGAGGCGTTTCGGCAAGAACTTTTTTTCTGTCTTAAAAATTTAAACAAGATGAAATCGGTTCAACTTCAAGAATAGAAAGTACCTGCCAACTTTTTGTCCAAAACTCTGCATGTACAGATTCATTAGTCTGAAGCGAGTCAACTAAAAACAGCAACCCTCTATGTTTAAGAAAAATTAATTTTTCGCTGTTTTTAGTTGATTCGTTTCAGACTGAAACAAAACTGTGCAAGCAAAACTTTTGACAAAAGTACTGTCTAGCCTTGAAGTTGAATCGAGTTCATTTCGTTTAAATAGTTGCGGACATTTTTCAAAAAGAATTCTAGAATATTCCAAGACTTTAAAACAATCGATGGTCGCTCTGAAAGATTCTAAGACGTTCTGATCTGATTTTTTTAAACGTTGCGCTCGCTAGCCCCTTAAATATTTGGCCTTACGCTAAAATGATGTCAATCATTAAATATATAAGAAGATATAATACCAGATTTGACTCTATGAGCTTTTCAAGAATTTAGAACCAGAGAATTGCTTTTGTTTTACCATCAAAAAGTCCATTCTAATGTCAAATGTTCCGTTCTTTAGCAAGCAACACACGTCATTGATATGGACGTCAATTTGTTTTCAAGTTTTTCCAAAAAATCTAGATAAGTACCAATAGCGAGAACCGATCATTAACAATACTGCCTATCTTTCAACACTCCGTTGATTCAGAGTTACTTCAGAAATACTAATACCGGAAAAGATATATGAATTGTATATAATAAAGTCCATAAAATGAGCAACACATGCTCGCATATGGGCCATACGATGTCAGAGAATCACAAGAAGAAGAAACAAAATTAAAATAGTGATTGAGAGCACAAATATGGCTGTCCATTGTCGCTTGTCATCTGACAGTCGGGTCACTTTAGCCAATTTCTTCATCACGTTGTCCATTTTGGAGGATGTTGAATCCATCTCGTGGTGCAGATCATCAAGCGCTTCATTCTGGTCGTCCAACTCATCTCCGATCTGTCTGCTCATTGACTTCAGAACTCCGATACTTGTTGTCACTCGGTCAATCTAGAATGCATTTTAAAAATTTACAATGAAGCTATTGAATAATCAAAAATTAAATTAGAAAGAAACTCAAAGCGACAAGCAGCGATTGTTGAGAAAACAACAAGACCCAAAACGGTCCCAAAAGCTGTACAACTCAAAGCACGTTTCAGTAAAACAAGGCATCTAAACGGTTAAATTTGAGACCGGCTGACACTTGTTTTTTTAAAGTCAGTCGCGCAAACTGATTAAACATATTCAAATCCAAAAAATTAATCACTCATTTAGGACTTAACCAATATTTGAGGTTAACGAGCATGCAATAATTTTTTTTCAAACTAGAATAATCTCTCCGTCCTTTTAGTAATTTTACCACATCGAAGTCCCAAAATAGAAGCATAATGGGACTGGTAAATGTTTTCCTGTTCCTAGTTACTGGCATAGATTAGAAGCTGCATTACCGAACGCAGGAAAAGAGCACGTACTAATTTAGTCTCAGGGGAATTTAAAACAGGGTAGGGTGTTGTTATTTCTTGTACTTCAAATTGGTTCTCGCATAATTAGCCTGTAGATTACGTCAATAGCGCGCTTATAGCCAGGGCTTAAATTTCACCCCCACAATCGACCAGGAAAAAATGAATTAATGATTTTGAAAAAATTATGCCAATTGTTTCAAAAACTATTCCAACGTCTCCAAACGATTCAAAAATGCAGCACTACAATTTCATCTTTTTATTAACCAGTGGGTCAAATATAACCAAATGTAAATATATTCGTTCATGATCATGCACAACTATAGTGGACTAAGACGAGAGATAATCTCGTGCTTTCAGGGAATATTGATTGCTTCTGCTGACGCCGCATGTGTACTGCACTTCTCTTATCGTGTTAGCAATACGCGAGTTAAAAGTGGTTCAAGTTCATTCTCTTCAAATGAAGTCCACTTCTGTTGCCCCGTGGCACAAAATAAACCAAATCTAAGAAATATTTGAGCATAGATAACACTCAATTGTTTTGATCACGCCACAATTTAGTTAAATATTCAAGGTAATCACTGAAAATCAAACAAAACACTAAATAGAACAGATCAATTTCCGTACCAACCAACAACTCGAAAAATTTAATCACGTCAACAATCCCCCCTTTGTGCCTTTTTCAGAATCCCCCTGCTTTAAGTTTCAAATTTTCAAAAATTTCCGTATCAATTTAGCATTTCTAAGAAGTTTAAAATTATTAACCAGACAAAAAAAAATTTTGCCGTTTATTTTAATGTTATTTTAAAAAATCTCAAATTCTAAGATATTTTTGATGCAAAATGGATACTTAACTCCCAATTGGAGCCTACCTTTGAAAAAATTAGAGTCAATGAAACTTGCTGATTAAAAAACACACACAGGCGAAGATGAGATTCGCACCACTTCCGATGCAAAACAAGAAAAAAATCGGAAATGTCAAAAAAATAGATCTATCAAAATGATAAGGCTAGTTCTGAAATAAAAACATGCCGAAGCAATAAAATGTGAAATAAGTATCGGAAGAAAGGGTAACCAGCGGTAAAAAAAACCAAAAACGCCTTGCCAGACACCTTTTAAGTCGAAAAAAAAATAAGACAACCATTAACTTATGAAAAGTTAAGTACCCCTCACCCTCAAAACACAGACACACATACACTAACTTTTCCGCAATATGAGACGAAATATGAGGCCCAATCAACCGATAGAATATCGGTCGAAACCAATCAAGCCAAAAAAAGGAGCAAGCAAAAAAAACAAAATGTGGCCATTAAAATTATAATTTCTATAAAATTTTTTAGTATTTTGGGCGATCCAGAGGTGATCATTAAAATTTTTTTGCGTTGAACCCGAAAGTAGGTCACTAAGCCGATAAAAAATAGGCCGAAATCAGTTGGGCAAAATAAAGTTTTTAAGCAAAAATACATATGAAGTCAAGATTAGTGAAATTACAAACTGTAGAGATACATCATAACACTTATGTTAGAAAACTATATATAAAAAAAAAACATTTTCAATGGCAACTAAGCCGAAAAAACATAAGCTTACAATAATAAGCCGACATTTTTTTTTGAAATGGACTATTTCACGTTTGAAAACAAAACAGGTCTTGTCAGATTCGAACCGAGGACCTTTGACGTCCCAGCTGCAACCGTAACCTCCAGACCAAGTCTGCCGGAGACATAAAGAAACTTGAATTCATTATGAACTGATCCTAAATTTACCATTTCTCAGTTTGAGCTTTCCGTGAACAAAGTTATTTACGGGAAAAAAGTATAATACCTGATTGCAATACCCTTGCTTATCGCAGGGGTAATAAATATTTAATATTAACATCTGTTTGATTTCATAACTTTTGGAAAAATAAATTACTAGGAAACTAATTCTCACTGACCCACAAATAAAAACCCCTTAATTAAACAGAAACACTCGGAACCAATTCTAAGAACACTCAGCCGACGCAAATGACCGTAAAACTTATGAATCGAAAACAAACTTATCACATTTGGTAAAATTGAAGCCAAAATTGAAAAAACGTTAACAAAATTTCCATTCAGGCGAAGCTTCATTTCGCAAACACAAGTGAAGAAAAAGAAAAAAAGGTAAAACCAATAGGAATCCTGATATGCGCCGCGGCCTTGTACCCCTACCTCAGGGTTCAGAGTCTAACGTCCTCGCATCTGCGCCAGGTACGCTTGATAAGCATCAAACACTAGCCACCAATAAACCATGCACAACCATACACAGAGGCGATTCAAAACCACTTGCGATACAACACAGACAAAATTTTTGAAATTATCGAAAAAGCGTAACTTCTAGGCTAAGTGGGAAGGATCCTGGAAGATGTAAAGGTTCAATAAAAAAGTAAGTACAATTTAAAAGCAACGTTTTTTACGAAAAAGAAAGTCTAGTTTCGGTTACAAAACACCTACTCTCGCTAGTGTTATAATGCTAATGCAACTAAAAGAGCCAGATATAAAGCTGATGCAGCAAAAGTGAGCAAAATATAATGCTATTGCTGCAAAAACGCTTCCAAATTAAATGAACACTTCTATTTGAGAATTGGTATGTACAAAAAAAAATCGTAATTAAATGACACTAAACATTACATGTGTAAAAAAAGAGGGTAATAAAGAATTTTTAAATGATAAAAAGCCTGTTGGCATAGCTCCACTAGGGCAACAAAAATTTCCAACTATTCTTTAAGACAAAATTTTTTACGGAATAAATTCTAATATCCGTTTGGATAACGCTTGCTAATCGGAAAAAAGTCGAAAATCACATTATTTGCTGGCCATCAAAAATTCTAAAACAAAAATATTTCCTGGTACAATTAAATCGTTGAGAGACAATTATAAAGCAAAAGCGTTGCTCACATTTTCAGTTTCTGTAAAAAAACAATTAACAGCGCATTCATCTGATAAAGTAATAATTTCTGAAAAAATTATAAAATGGGCTTAATCTGGTTGCAAAAAAAACTGACAAGCAAAAAAATTTCAAAAATGAAACAAATGTATTTCATATTTTCAATTCAAGAATATTCAATTGAAAAACAGTTGATGTAAATTTTTGCAAATAAAGGTGGAATTGCAATCTATTAACTAATCCTGGAAAAATGGAAAATTAAAAAAAAAAAAACATTTAATAAATTAAGCCAAGATTGCACTTTACAAATCTGCTTTATGGATTCAGATGAAAAAAAACAATATAGAGGCACCGTAACTTTGTCACGTGCGAATTCTGTGGAGGTTTCAGCTGATGAAAAAAAAAGTAAAGGACCCTTCGGTTGCAATACCCTTGAAACGAGGAAAAACTGAAACATATTCTCACCTCCTCATCTTGTCTATGTAGAAGTTGTTGTTGCTCATTAACGGTATTGCTGATAAATTTGTCGTTTTCTTCATCATGATAAGACTCTAACTTTGAATATTTCACATTGTTACTGCCTGACTTAGAGGTTTTTGCATAGCTACTCTGCTTTTTCTTCTTAGAGAAATCGTTTGTGACGCCATTGGTTGTCTTAGCGTTCCTAATCGCTGCGTCTACAATTTTTAGTTTGTCTTTCGAAGCTTCGATGAATTGCTTCCGAGAATTGATTTCATTTGAGTTAATTTTGAACTTTTTGGGGTTGGCTTCAACTATTCGGACAGTTTCTTCTATATCCTCGATATCATATTGCACATCTCGGAGAGCAGTTTTAATTTCGCCTCTAATATCGTTGATTTCCTTGAAACCATTCGAGTGAGAATTACTCTGTGATTTATTAAAGGAATCATGAAGCTTTGTCAGATTTTCGAGGGCTCGTTCCACGTCTGACTTAACAATGAAGTATGGATCTTCCATTTTACTAATCAATTCATGGCCAACTGGAACATATTAGATTTATGTCACATCAAACAGTAAATCAAAAACTATGAAACTTAATTCGTTACTTTGGGAAAAGAACCTGTTTTTTTAGAGGAAAAATAAAGTTTATCAATTTACAATTTCGAGTAAAGTATAAATTTTACATATTAAATATTTTATTCATCTAAGCAAAGCATAAAGTGAAACTAGAATAGATACGCATCAAATGCAACTTGAATCCGGCAAAAACTACCGGCTTCTTCCCATTGTAGCCGCCGTTCAACCCAGTAAGAAACAAAACAACCACAACATTTTTATACACAGGCGAAGTAATAATGGAGGTTTGCTAGTTTATTAATGGGGTTAGAAATTGCTGGGGCAATAATGGAAAAGAACCTAATTGCCAAGACAGTACTGAATTTCCATGCAATTCCACGGGTTTAGCTTCGAAGAACTCGAGCAATGAAAAAAAATGTTATTCTAGAACATATTTACAGCTGTGTATCAAATTTCGCAGGTATTTTTCCTCAAACTCCTCGGGGTTGGGCTTGGAATCAATCATTTCTGAGTACTGTCTAGTTTTCGAGTTGGAATAATTGTTCAACTTAGTGTATTCAGAGTCATCCAATAGATTCGGAAGAGGATTGCATATAAGGTACGCGTCACATTGTACAGGATTATGAGTAGGCCACTCGTCGCATTCTTCGTCCAAACTGACGTCCCTTAGCAAAAGCTTCTGCATATTGTTCACCAGATCAGTTTTATCAATTTTAAGGGGATCGTTAACGTGAACTTCTGGTAACACTTTAATTGAAGTTCTTGTATACCACTCAGGGTGTTCTTCAAACCAATCCAAGTAATCGCGCATCTTTTTGTCGATCAAAAAAATTTCACCTAAGACGTTCATATTAGAAGGATGCTCTTTCTCATTTAACAGATAAGGAATGTTCATCGTTTTCTCCAGAACCAAGGGCATTTTTTCGTAAGTCCTAGCCTTGCAAATGAATTTTGCTGAACCATTAACAGGGTTCATTAAATGCTCGTGATTTGGTTGGCTTCTCTTCAAAGTGCCATACAGAAAGACAAAAAAATGGTTATTGGAATTGTTTATGGGTTTCGAATTACTCATCTCGGAAATCTGAAAATCATTAAGTCAAGGCAATTATCACTGGCAATTCAAATGCGATGATGTACAAATTTTACACACAGAGGCTAAGCGGAGCTTCGCATCACTTGCGATACAGCACAATCATAAAAAAAAACGAAGTCGAAAAAAAATGAAAAATGTTGACAAAAACTAGGTGCACCAAAACTTTCGTATGTATCAATAAAGGAAACCTAGAGCCCAGCTAAAGCTGGAAAAACGAGTTTGATATTTTTTGAATTAGTTATACTGATCCAGAACGAAATGCTAGATTTCAAAAATTGCACTTTGCCTACAACCTTCGTTGTTTGTCTACTAAAATAAATACGAAAATAAATTGAGGAGTAGCCGCCTCTCCAGTAAAAATTCTTTCGATTGAACTTTTCATCTCAAATTTAATAGGGTAGTTTTAAAAAAATCAAAGTTTCAAAAAAACGGTCGAAGTTAAAAAACGTAACTTTCCGAAATCTGAACTTTTTTCTGCTACAAGAGGTAGCGGTCGGTAAAATAGAGAAGATTTCCAAAATCAAGTTTCTCGATTGAACACTAAAACTGAGATTTGGCACGGTAATTTTCGAGTAAAGAAATAAAACTTCCAAGAAACGGTCAAAGTTTCAAAACTTTCACTTATTTGAAGGCCATAACTTTATTCTTTAAAAAATGGGCGTACTAAGCTATTCAGGCAAGCTTTCAACAATCTGTTGTGTCGATTAAACCTATGACATCAGATTTGGCAGGATAGTTCGAGAAAAATCCAAAAAACAGTCAACAAATCAGATTGCCGACATTTCCGATAATCATAGCTTTTTTTGCTGATCATAGGAAGTAATGAGCCTGACGCTCATCCAGAAGAGATTTACCCAACCTTTAACTTCGATTGAACCCAAACAACCAAGTTTGACTGAGTAGTTCTCGAAAAAAGTCAAAACGTTTTAAAAAACGGCCAAAAACCAAAAAAAAATTAGGTATGCAATAGGGTGTAGTCAGGAATGCAAAGGAGTTTCCCAGAACCCACATTTTGGATTGAACTCAAAATCCCAAAAATGAGAGGGTATTTTTCGGTAAAATTCATATAATTAAAAAAACGCTCAAAAATCAAAAACCAGAAGGACAATAACTTCTTGTGTTTAAATTATGGCGAGTTGCCGCTGATGCACGTAAGCTTCCCGCTAGTTGTTATCTCCATCGAACCCACAACGTCAGGTTTGGGAGGTTAGTTTTCGATAAAAGCCAAAAAGATTCAAAAAACTGTCAAAAAATACAAAACATCAGTATTCGGAGAGTTCGTAGCCGCCTTTTTGAGGGGAGCCTTTTAAATCCTCACCACTCATTGAAACATAAACCTCAGATTTATTAGATTAGTTTGAGAAAACGAAAAAAAATTCAAAAATATTGGTAAAAAATTCCCCCCACAGACTTTTTCGAAGGCTGTAGAGAAAAAGGAAAAGTAAAAAGGGACGAGGGGAGAATGCGGGCACACAGAGGTGTGGGCGGTTTTTCTATGCATACCGTTTTAAAAATCGGTAGAAGAGTTTTTGAGAAAAAAAAGTTTTGCAATAGAAGACGAAATTTTTCAAAGCCTCTCAATAAAAGTTGAAAAAAAAACAATCTCATACATTTTCATAGAACCTATTTTTACGAACCAAGAACTCTAGGCAGAATACCAAGCAATATCTAAATCAAGCAGAATTACGAAGCGGAAATAACGGCGATAATCTTCGAGCAGACATCAGATGAGTCAAAAAAAAATTGAATTTCTAAAAAAAAAACTAATAAGTTTCAAGTCCCTCTGAAACTACCCTGTAAAAACTAATAGACACCCAGTAGCTAATTTTGAAATTTCTTGAAATTGAACATGTCAGCTGTTTGCGCAAATGATTTATCTGATTTTGTTAAACTAGTTGTTAACCCCAAGAGACTACATTCCGATTTGAAAACGATTGCTAACCGCAAGCATAATTATTCGAACCAATAGTCGCAATGGTGACTCGAGGCATATAATATTCGTCCGGCAAACGTCAAAAATAGTCAGTGGCTAAGTCCAGAAATAAGTTCTTGATTTTTTATGGTCATTGCTTCAGCCAACTACTTTAAATATCCTTGAAATCTCAGGCTTCAAACAAAAGGCTACAAACTTAGACCTCTCACTCGACTTATCTTCTGAACTACCTATACTAGTGATATATATGTCCCGAGGTGAGTTCCTACTTTTCCCAACTATAATGTTACAGATGTACAAAACAGATGTGCTTGAAGTACAAAACTACAATCCCAAAAATACCTCAACATACCTTAAAATCATAACTGTATACTTTTAAGTCAAAACATTTTAGTTGGTAGCACTAGCGCCAGATATAACTCAAATTAGTTTCTACTTTCACGCATTTTATATATCATGCTCTTCCTATATCTTGACTTGGAACAAAAATACAATTAAATGAACAAAACTTCTTGTGTATGACACATAGTATGACACTTTTTATGATCTTTGATCATTTTGTACAGATAGTTTAGAATTTTTAAAACCTGAAGATGCACAAACATGTCCGAAAACGTTTGTTTGAATTTACAACTTTAGAAACACAGAATACGATCAAGTATTCGATCAATGTCAGGAAACACAGCAGGCTGCTCCCCAAACTCTACAAACCGCAGTGAGACTGATGCCTGACTAATCTTCATCGATCAGTTTCGATCAATAGTCCATGACAAGCACAAGCTTTTACCGGTTGAAAATTGATGTAACCCAAAAGTTGGTTAACGAGCCGTGCTTCTAAACCCAAGAAAAACGTGGAGACCACAGAAAGCAACTACGAGGTAGCTCTCTAGTTGCTGTAGCAGAGATGAAAAAAATTGAACGTGTTAAGAGATTTGCAAAATTCGGACAGACAAAAAGAATTCAAAAAAAGCAATATTCTAGTTTGGAGCAAATTTGCATAAAAATTTGAATTTTTAGATTACCTTGAGACATACTTTCTGTCTGGAAAGGTAGCTTTTCATGAAAAAATTGTCTGAAAAGATCATTCGCTCTTCTTATGTTTTTTCGTTCGTCTGTCCGAATTTTTCGCTACTAATCATAAAATTTCTGAAACTCTTGTGAAGGATTCATGGATTCACTGCAGTTCTAACGAAGAACATATCTCAGCTTCGTCAGCTACACTCAGTCTTCAATGAAACTTCGCAATCAATCAAGCCACCCGGAAGATCAGTAGAAAATATTTGCGGCATTTCCTACTCTCAGAAAAATTTGAACCTGAATTTCAGACGGCATGGGAAACTGCCAACGATGGAACTGAAGCTCTGAACTTCGATGGTATTCTTAAAAAAGAGCCAAATCTTTAGAGGTGGTTCAAGGATCTCAATCCAGACACCATAAGCCTGAGCTTGAGCAACAGATGATGTTCATAAAAAAAGACCAGATATCGCAAGAATGGCTTCTCTTTACCTCAGTGTAAGACCCAACCTGCCAAGATGGACATCTAACTTGCCAGTGCTAGAAATAAATATTAATGACATTATCGGAAGAGAAAAAAAACTCATCAGCAAAAAGTTATGCTTCAATTGTTTGTCTGCTAGTCACGGTATCCTGCAATGCACTTTGGCATCACTTCGCAAGACATGTCAGAAGAAGCGTCATACATCTCTTCATGGCAGTTCTGGCAAGCCCGGTCTGCATCTCACGGCGACAATAGATGCCCATCAAACCAACAGACAAGCGTCATCGCCCTAAAGGCCCTGCACCAGCTTGGTATCAAACCAACAGAAGCTCCAGGATGCAAAAATGGACTGTAACAAAAGAACGCTAGGTCAACCCATTGAAAAATGAACCTCGCATATCTACCAAAGTCTGGTAACAAATTCACATTTCTTGT